ATAGTCTTGATTTTGATCTTTTAAGCTCTCGTCTCGAATTATTTGACTTGAATGCTTAACTTTCACTTTGCTATTCATTTCGAGTCCGATTTATGATGTGTTGATTTTGGCAATACTCGATAGATTTTAACATTGAACTATCATCACTCAAAATCAATTGTTAGAAACAATATTAATTTTGTTTGTTATGATCAAAACATTAAGAATTAAATCAACCATAGGTCAACACTATGTTTCATTGCTCTCGGCTCCTGCGGAAACTGGAAGAGATGTAGTTTGAATGTAGAATTCTTAACTCGTTTGCAATAATGAAATTTTACACTAGTGCAAAGAACATGTCCTTTGATGTTAGAAGTATGTTGTATAGAATACAACTAAACATTCAGTCTCAACAAATTAGCCATTTGAGAGCAGGGTCTGACTGCTCATCAAATTTGCTGTATACTTTTTCTATTCAAATAATGTTATTTAGTCCCATTAGAGTTATAACTTCAATATATGTGGTGTTAGATGATAGACTAAATGAAGTGTGAAATGATATGACTTAATTAATTTAATTTATTATTTGATGTCACATTAGTGCTAATAGACGGAGTTATAATTTCAGTAGAGTTAAATAGCATTACTCTTTTCTATTTGGCCCTGAGAATGGATTAATCGAAATGACCTTCGTGTGGAAAGCCTTTGTCCATTAAGCCTTCGTTTGAGACTTTTTAAAAATTTATTTCAATAAAATAATATTGGACTAAAGTTAACTTTATATATATACTAGTTTTTGCCTGTGTATTGCACGAGATTGGCTCCATGAATTGATATTACCAATAGAATATTAAAAAAGTGAAGAATAAATGTTTCATTAGTGACAATCAACGATGAAAATACCTTCTGATTGTCAACAACATCATAGACCACATTGCTATTAAGCACTATTGGCGATTATATCAATAATCAATTTTTTCAATTTAAATTCATTTTTACGAGTATTCTTGAAATGAATCGATATTACAAAAAAGCGTTATTTCGAATTTATTTTAGTCAAATATGGACAGCTACATCATGCATTTTGCTGATCCTTACATAACAAGTGGAGGAAAACTATGCGATCAATCTGCAATCATCACTAAATGAGAAGACAACAAAATCTAACCCTATTAGTGAAACATAGAAAATAATTTTGAATTCATTTGAATTATTCAACCAATTATATGTTGGTTTTATTTTGTTTTGTTTACATTGATTTATAGTCCTTTTACTATTCTCACTGGAATTCCCCACTCTAAGGGAAGTGAGCCGAGGAAAGACAGGGAATGTTCGATTCTATGTTTGGGTGGGTGAAAGCCTTGGATTACGTAGAAGCAAGTAAATAAAGCACCCCATTTTATCATTATTCTGTATTTTCTCTAACTCTTCTACATCATTTAACTAATTCATCAAAATTATTACAAAAGAATACCAATTACTATCATTTTGCAAAACTATGATGTATCCAACGGGAGTCCCCAAGGCACATCTCCAAGTGGTAAAAGGGGAAGGTGGAAAAACTTTAGCTTTGTTTGAGGATGTCACGTCAAGGGTTTGAATCCTGAAATATGGATTTGGCCCTTGAGTAAGTGCAAGTGTACAAGCAGCCTTCTACCCTGTACCTTTGGAGGCATAACCTGCGATTTACCTCTTTCATCATGGCTCAGGGCAGGACAGGTGGGGCCGCCAAGAATGTGGTTCATCTTTTTTTTATGATGTATCCAACGGGCTCCACAATCAGATTATTACTAACTGATTCTTGTCTATGGCTATTCCAGTAATAACATCCTTTTATTCAATTCCTCCTCTTAAGTATATTGAAAGAAGCCGGATGAACATAGTCAACTGGCCGGCCTTTTCGAGGATTTTGGTTATGTTGGTTGGACCCGCTGGTGCCGGGGCATGAGCTGGTGTTTGAGCTATGGTTTTGGTGCAGCAGAAGAGAGGTACAATACAATACAATATTAAAACAAATCATTTAACTCATTTTTCTGATACCAAAAAACAGAATGAATAATTTTGGTGTAGTTGAGATTCAAGAAAAGTTTGAACTATGTAATTTTCTGAAGATCACATAGTTAACTATTCTGATACAGCTTTTATACTGATTTGTGATTGTACTTCTCAACGTTCTTCCGATTTCAATTTTGACTGTGATGATAGATGGAGCCTTTACTCGAACCCCCCTCTTAGCAAATTATCATAGTAAACAACATGATGTTGATCCCACTTTTCTAATTTCCATGCATAAATTCAAATGGATTTCTATGATGCCATAGTTTTAAGCCTAAGTCGTGACTCATTTACTCTCTCCCTGAAGTTTCATTTTGTAACTCGTTAACTCAATGACAAAATAATATAGAAAATCTCAGGCAGTTTTGTTATTGGGGAGTAAAATGCCTTCCTACTCAACACTATGTACAAGTTATAACAATCTCTAAGTAAGATTATACCGACCAGCACAAGCTCAAAAAGTGCCAGATAGTGGGAAATACATACGACTGGATGAAAATTAAGCCCGTAAGCATTAACAAAATAGAGCGGTCCACACTAAACCACGATTTGAGCTATAAATTTAAAACGCATGTAGTTCATCATAAAAAAAAATGTTTTATTTAATCTTTTTGCAAGGAACGAGGCTCAGAAATATTTGAGTTGTTTCCTAAATCTATACAAATTACAACCTTGTGTATCTAGTATCTCAAAACTAATCTTGAACTCAATTTACATGGACACGGTTGTGTAAATGATGCATTGACAAACAGCCGCGAAATAACTTGGAAAAGTGATGCGAATGTTGTTGATGGAAGTCACGTACAAAAGGGTGAGATAATAGCATATCAGCCGTCCATCTCGCCTTGGGATTCTTGATCAAGCATTTTTTCAGAATTAGGAACCGAAGAAACCTTCGGAACCTCGGAATCTTGGGCAATTCTTCACTGCAACCAATCTTGAATAAAACGTCCTCTGCCTTGTCTTCTTTCTTGACTTTCCACGGTGATTTTCCTGTAATCATATGCAACACGGTGCACCCTAATGCCCAAATATCCGACTCCGGCTGATATTCTTGATGGATAATGGACTCTGGCGCCGCGTCTAAAACAGTACCCCTGAATTCCTTGTTATCTTCGTCATCTTTGATCTTCTTTGCACTCCCAAAGTCTGCCAACTTAGCGATTTCTCCGACCCCCTTCTTTCTTGAACGTAAAGAATCAACTACGAGTAATACATTGTGTGGCTTTATATCACAATGAACATATCCAAGCTTATGAACATGGCTCAAGGCAATGAGCATGGATTTTGTGTACTGTCTCACAATGTTCTCCGGCAAGCCTTTACCAATAGTCCGATCTGCTAGACATCCTCCGGCCGCATATTCGAGCATTATGTTGTATAGTTCCTCGCCTTCTTCCGTGGTAACATCCTCCCCAAAACAATGAAGGATAGAGGGACAGCCATTGAATACATCAAGTAACTTCTTCTCTTTAACGAGCGAATCCGATGCAGAAACTTTTGCAGTTTTGACAGCGATAACGTGTGGAAATTGATCGCAACTCTGTTGTTGTACGTTAGCTATCGACACGAGGCCAAACCCTCCTCTCCCAATGGTTTCTCCTCTATTCCAAATCATGTTTTCTTTTTCTTGCTCAACTATCCCGAGTTCTGTATTGTAGGTGAGGGAAAATAGAGGCTTTTAACCTAGTTCATATCTTCGATTTGTAGTAGGATTAGTAGAAACTGAAAAGGTTTGTTAATACTTCTTTTGGAAGTAATAATATTCTATCCTTCCCAACCAGGGATTTCTTCTCTATTAGCCCACATTGGTAACCCATTTTTTAAAATTCTATATTTTTTTTTGTCATACTCTAGATTTTTTAAAAATAAATTACTTTTTTACATGGACATATAACATTGTAACTTCACATTCTTTAAAACTCTATTTCTCACAAAATTTATCTAAAATCTAGATCAAACGATCCATTATTTTACAACTCTTACATATTTTCTTATTTCTATTACACGATTTTTTTCCCGGTAGAACTTGGAAGTAATATTTGAGCTTTCTTTCTCTTACTAGTCACACGACTCACACCCCTAAAATATTTTTCTTTTTCAGAATACGATATTTTCATTTTTTAAGATTCGATGTTAAACAAGTTAATCCCATTAAATTAAGATCTAATTCTAATATCCCTTTTTTTTTTTTTTTAATTTGACTATGTCCCATTGATAGATACTAAACAAGAGTGGTGCTCTGTGGCATTATTGAACCATATATGACAAATTAACTGAAACTAGTCCTTTTTGTTTATTGAAACACCTTCTAAATACTATTATCACATACCCCGATTAAACATGATAAAGATTAATTAGTTCCGTATTGCAAATAACATCCAAAAATTTCAGATACAATACATATCCAAGGAAGTTGCTAGATACAATTTCAAAATTAAGAAATTTATTTTAAAATTTCAAAAATTGGACCATAATAAAATTTTATTAATTAAATAGATAATTAAATATATTTTATTAATTAAATATATTAAATCACAATATTATACAATATATGATCACAGTTGCGTACTAGTCACAATTATAGAATATCACTATCACGAATCACAAATTTTATATATCACAACTTATATATCAGTCACAAATTATCAAATTAATTGATCATACAATATTTCTCGATAAAAAATCACAAATTTTATATATCACAACTTATTTATTGGTCACAAATTATCAAATTAATAGGTCACGAATTGTTTTTCGATCACAAATCATAAATTAATTAGTCATAGCTTAACAAATTATGAATCACGATTACAAATTTAGTCACAAACTCACTTTTTTAGATCACATATTAATTATTAGTCACAAATTATCTATTTTAACGGTTACATATTATTTATTGGTCACAATCACCCAAATAATTGGCCATGAACACTCTTCATCCTATCCCACTCAACCCCAATCTACCACCGTCACCTACCAAATGTCGCTTCACCTTACCACCACCGCCAGCACCACCATCACTAGCACCACCACGACCTCACCACAACCACCGCAACACCATCATCACCGTTGCACCATCTCCACCTATACCACCACCACCTCCACAATTTGCAAAACACCAACAACCGCTAACAACAACCACCCAAACTTCAGCTAAGCAACAGAACGAAGGTGGCCCAAAACTACGCTAAAAACCACCCTTGAAAGCAATCAGAGTTGTGCGTAGTAGCGCTCGCCGCTGTGAGCGCCTCTGCGGTGGTTGGTAGTCTTCAAATGGTCTCTCGCTACGATAGGTGGCTTCGTTGATGACGGTCGGAGTTGATGGTGATGGCCGAATTGTGTGTCGGATTGTGAACTTGGCTACCTTGTGTGATAAAGACAGAGAAAATAGA